TATGCTATATAATTGCCAAAACCTACCTAATTTGCATAAACAATTTTTAAATATCAAAACCCCTGTAATACGTTTTGGGGCCAGCCCTTATTCATTCACATACCAAAAATGAGAAAAATCCGTTGAACCTGAACTGACTAATGGCAATTTCCATTTTTGCCAAAAAATTGCCGTGGCTCGAAAGTACGTCGACTGGCGTGCTCCAAAATAGGACGTTCAAACCTCTCCCATAGCAGTAACAACTACACCCAATTTCAAACATGTGGGTCAAACGGTTCCTGAGTTATCGTTGCATGACCGTAGCCAAATGTTGACGGAAGGACGGACGGACGTACGACGGACGACGACCCATGGCAATAGCTCATCTTGACGATGTCAAGGTGAGCTAAAAACGAGGGAGAGCGGGGGGAAAAGAACAAGGAGAAGCTGTGTGGGGTAAAACGAAGGGGGATGGAGAGAGGAAAGTGGGCGGTGAGAAGGGAAGGATTTGTCTTCACTTTCATGTTCGTTTGATACGGTAATCGTATTGTAGGCGTGTGCGCGCGGTCGACCATGGATTCACGCCAAGTGCGCACCCCGCATCCCGCCACCATATTCGGTAGCGAGAGGTAGAGTAGGAATCCGCACTTTGCCGTGTTCGGGAGGGCCGGTTGGTCAGAAAGGGAGCTAAAGGAGATCTGTGTGACGTAAGGGAAGAAACGCGATCGCGGGACTGGGGCGCGACGTATATAAGGTGGAAGCCATCGCTTCCCGGGGCTCCTTGTGAACGACACCCGCGGAGAAAAGGTGTAAATTGCGTGATACGGTTACTATGCATTATAACGCTCTTTCTAATCGGTAGCACACTGAGACGTTATGTATCGTATTAGAGATTTAGTAAAACCCTAGTGAACGTTACTTCTTGTCTTGTCTTATATCTCTCTAGTCTATTACAGAAACACTTGTGCGGCCGCCCGTCATACTCCGGGGATTCATGACTCGATTCCCAGCCTAGTCGGCTCTCTTTGATCTTCGTCCCGCCGCTGACTCGCCGTCTCTGTTTTATGGCTTCCCCTGACACCCATTGCTCGGCACGGCGGCACGGCGGCACGGCGGCACGGCGGTCACTTTCTCTGGCGTGTGGGATCTACCCGCTTACAGTATGTATGCCGTGACGACATCCCACATTCTAAACACAACTTCTGCTGAGAGCAATTCTATCCCATACTGCTCAGGATGAGCGTTGCAAGTCAAGCCACGGGGAAAAAGCCACATGCTATCAAGAGTGTATTAAGAATGCTCTAAGAATATTCTTAATACGCTCTTGATGCTATACGACTGCAACGTTGATCGCGGCTAGCTGTTCAACGCCACCAAACTAGTGTGATTCCACTGAATGCGTAAATCAGCTCTCTCCGCACATGGCGTCTTCTCGCTAGCTCCCTGGTGAAATGCCACCAACGCATTTAACTATGACGTCTCACGACATACTAGAATCGCATATCATCTGAATAATGTAACCTCGATGGTAGCAACAAGTTCTTCCCCAGTCCTCACTTTTCTCTACGTGGCGAGAACTGATCGGGCTACCTCGATGGGAGCATCTATAGTAAGAATAGTACTGTGGTTTTCACCACCAGGTGGCTGACAGTTTTTATGTAAAAACCTTTTCACGCCTGCGATGCACTATGCCCATAAACGTGCGCGTGTATGCGTGCGTGCGCAGGGGTGGATCCAAATGACGATATCACTAGCAGCAAGAAGAAGTCCGCACCTGCAGCTGCAGCACACACGCATCTATTGACTATATATAACAACGTTATGTTGTTATATATAGTCAATAGATGCGTGTGTGCTGCAGCTGCAGGTGCGGACTTGTTCTTGCTGCCAGTGGATGATATAGTGTCTTCCCACTTCAGAAACTTGTCTTTTATCAACATAAAGCCGAATTTTCTAGCATGTATCGCATATTTCTCAATTGAAATAGAGTTAATTACCTCAACATATATAGTCAGTCAAAATCCATCGGAGTGAAACCTATTCTCCAAAATGTTTGAGGTGCCTACATAGATATCATCATCATACATATACATACGTGTATGTATATGGGTGCCTCACCCTCAATTTCGCAATCACATAACCCAGATTCCATTTCAGAATTCCTGAATCCGGTCCTGTGCATGGTGTTTTCGTCATCTATTTATTAAATTGTTTATAAATTTTCAAGTGAATTGAAATTGCCAATGACATTACCGCTGTATTGTAAGACTTTTCTATATAGTAAGATATGTGCAAATATAAATGACTACAAGTTCATTTCAGCTTAACCAGTGCATCGATTTATTATTGTTCATCACCGATATTTCTATATAAACTATATAATCCGTGTGATTTTCTTATAAACCGTTTATCGTTATTTATATCAAATACAAAGCCACTAATCATTGGAATTTTATAAATTATGACAGCGAAAATACTGTTCAGCGACTGAATTCCGTTTCAAACAATTAAGCGCATTTATAGTTTCATTACGCAATGGTGAAGATGTCACTGTTCTTCGTCTGTGGTGTTATTGGTCCAACTGTGACAACCCAACAGCGTCGACACTAGCTCTGCACAGCTGTCACACAAACACCTCCCGTTGTTAGCTGCGGTTATTAGCAATACATGCTAACATCATTAAGGTAAATTGAATATTTGATCAGGCTGCCTTCTAACAGATATACAACTTCATGCACAATTGCAATATATCTATATATGCGCGTGTAACTTTACTAATAATCTTGTGGAATCTTTCATTTGTTGATTAGCATATAAAATAACACTCCTCACTGTATCTCTTCGACGCTTCCTGATGATGCACTTCCGTCACTTGCCGTCATGCTATGCCTACCGTACGGATCAATTATTAGTCTATCAGGGTAATAATACGTTGAAAACAGAATTAATCGGCTAGCACCGTCATCCGAATAGCAATAATTTCCTAATTCGCGGAAGACCAAGTATTCAATGTGTTAGGAGGTCTACAGAAAGAAAACTTGGTGTTTACTACTAAATGTAGTTATGGACTTCCATCGCTATACCCACTAAAGGTTAACGACTGAAGCATTGCTCACAACAATACAAAATCAGTGCTAAATTGTTTTAGGTGGCTAGACACGAAAATATGCGCATAAAATATAGTGTACATCACCGACAACAGCAGGCAGGAATAGTGGTTGGCCAGAGGATTAATATAAGAATAGTACACCAACTATGCTTCCAGGACTTCTTTCACATGCTCTGAGCTAACCTAACATGTCATTTGAATTCCGCTAAATATAGATATGTACACGCATAGTACAAATATATGAACTCTGAATATATTCCTATCATTTTTCAAAGTAAGCACTGCATTTCTTATACTTATCTTAAACTAGATTAAAGAAATGGATGGAGAATCATTTATCACTAAACAGACAAAATATACATACATGGTTCATATTAACAATCGGTAACTTATAAGCTCATCTTCTTTTAACTTTCCTCCGTATTCTATTATATATTTTTATTTATATATATATGTGTGTGTGTATATACATATCATACTTTTAACACAGTAACACCTTAGCTGAATCATGCAGTCACAACCACAAAATATTACATATTTTCTCAATGTAAAACCAAAGCAACGTTCCAAGAACATGCTGAACACAACCACACTTCACAAAAATTTGCAAATTTAAACTGTGGTTTCTTGAAAATAATTCTGTAAAAACCACATTCTTATGTATACGTGAAATTCAATTGAGACAAGTTGACAATTATGGAATGTTTACATAGCGGAACCGCACTGAAGTAGTGTTATATCGTAAATGTTCCACAGCTCATAATGGCACGGATTAGCATCATGGCACAATTGGTCGAGGCATCTACGAGCAAATTGCTGTATCATGAATACGTGCATGCGTCTATTGCGTATATCGTATCATAGAACATGGCCGTACCTCACTGCGGCACGATCAGGTACGCACACACGTGACGTACATCACAAAAACCTTTCCAACACAGACGGGTGAGCACTTGTTGAACATAAAACGTGGGGAGAAAAGGGAATGTAGGTCTATATACATACAGTAAGTATAAAATGGACTTAGATAAAATAGACAAGAGTTAGTTTGTCTTATGAAAGGGGAGTACACTAGAGATCATGTGGATTTACCTCAGACATAGGCACTTGCATCAATAGCGAAAATTCTGGAAAATAGTGGAATTTGTGTTCTTCCCAATTACACCCGCACACACTTTCACTGCATATATATCATATGTATATATATATATATATATAACCCCCTCACCAATCAAACCTACCTGCTCAGTAAGAAAGACCGAGGTACACCAACCTCTCAAGGTAAAAGAACTGCTCAACCCACACACTTGTAGACAGCTTTAAAGATTTGGTGTCATGACTCACTTTGACACGACTGGCTTTGTCACTCAGGCGGCCCCACGAGTGCAAACGACAGTGTGCTCAGATCTCTGTGATCACGACACGCCTAGTTACCTTGCTCCGATTGGGGACCGTCTCCTCTTGCTTTTCTTCGACAATGTCGTCGACGAGCCACGGCGACATCGCCGTCGGCGCCTGCTTCTTCAGGAGCGGCGACGTGTCGCGAACGGTGTCGCTATGGTTACTAGCGTTGGAGTCAGAGCTGACGCTGGCCCTCTTCTCAGCATCGGTCACTGTTAGCTGAAAGGGGAGCCAGAACATGCTTGTAGCCGACATTCTCAATTTTTCACTTGTTTTTGTTTTTGTTGGTCTGTTTTTGTTTTTGTTTTTGTGATGCTAAGTAGTTAAACATATGAACTTAAATGCTTTATTTTTATTATTTTTTAACAGTTATTGAAGAGCAACTGCACTGTTTGTCATTCTTGTTGGCCTATTACTGTCTGTTTGTATGACGCTAACCATTCAATGTAGATAAAACTGCATTCCACCTGACGAAAAGCTGTCATAAATGTTTGTTGACACACTGCTATTTCTTGATTACCACATGAAAATGTTCCAAATATTGCAAGTTTAGCACAAACAAGCCTCACACATTCATGAATGTTGTTGGCAAAATATAAAACAACTGCGATAACCGTTCGTTCAAAATTTACTTTGACATGTGCATGTGACACAGAAACAGCACCTAGTTTAGTCTAGTATAGTGTAGGTTATTAATTTTTGAAATAAAACATTTTCTACATTCTACTCATCAATTGCATACTATATTACATGCGTTAATGATGCACAGATATATATGCATGGAAGTCGAGTCAATCGGAGCCACTGTATCAATATTACTCTACACAAAGGTAAACATCGGCATGCAAGGTTCGAACGAGGAAGTGTTTGTGTTGGATCTATCCGATCCAAATATTTTAATATGCTTGCACTTAAATAATGCTATTAAATAATTAAGTTAATGCTTGCATAGAACACTACTGTGAGTACATTGTGGATTTCAGGGGTGAAGCAGCTTTAAAAAATGGATTGAAGTGATGCCATAATGTCTAGTTTTCGATTTCTGCTAATTTGTTAACTGTCACTAAAGTACACCTGCACTATTTTGGTTGTTGTTGGCTAATTAAATAAGGTCATAGCACATTATACTGAACTCGTGAAACAGTCATGCTCAGTTAAACTTGCACAGATGCCGATTCGCACGATGAGTCATACCCACATGTTACAGCAAACAAACTCACCATGCTAGGTGAAACAGGGCTGGCAGGATGTGAAGCATCGATTGCAGGGCTGCTGTTTCCACTGTGTGAGGAGGTGTTTACTGCAGCTGTTGCACCTGCACCAGGACTTGCCTGTAGCGAGGAGCTGGAACTGGTATCCACGTCATTCAGTGTAACTGCTGTGACACTTCTGTAATGATGTAACATCAGATGATGAAACACGAATGTGAACACTTTAAATCCCATTCAGTGATGCTTAAATATATACTAAATGTACAGGTCTAATAATAATGATAATAATAATAATAATAACAATAATACATTTTTACATTTCTGTCAGTAGAATGAATTATGAGGACACTATAATGTGAACATATTTCAAAAAAATTAAAAAATTGAACAGGGAGCCTGTAATTTGGCATCACCATATCATTGAAAGAATACTTTCAACTTGGCAGATTTGCAAGGTTCTAACCCTTCCGCCATTTCAAAAGATGATCAAGAAAATCTCTCACTTAATTATATATACCTTTGGTTTACTGGGTGGGACCTGGGTTGGGTCAAATGGGCATAGCTATGATTGACAGCTTAGGAGTGAAGTGGATGACTGCACTGCCACATGTAAAACCATGTCACAGAAGTATAAACGTATTTTGGAGAAGGCATACCTATTGTCAGATAGCTCAAAAATACTCTTGGCTAAATTATAGAGAGAAATACTGTGTTTAAGATATGGCAACAAGGCATTTGGTAGTATAAATGGCTTGGTATGTAGTGGAAAGAGAAAGGGAATGGGGATAGAGCAATGTGATGCAAATTTAACTTACATTGGGGAATTGGACTTTACTACGGGTCCACTCTCTTCGACTGCAGATTTCTCCCTAGGACTCTGCAGGTTGACATTTTTTATTGGCTTGACAGCAGCAGCAGCATCTTCTGCAGGGAGCTGAACTGTTAGCAGGGGCTTGTCAGCTGAAAATTGTGCCCACGTAGATTTATATATGATACTTTAAAGGGTATACATCTTTTATCAGTATCATATTTCACAGAGTTAACATTCTTGATACCAATATGCATAGTGTTTCTAGATAATATTGACCCTCAACAATAAACTTGTACGTAAATTTATTTTATTCCATAGATCCCCAAATTTCAATAATAAATTCTTCATAATGCATACTTATTTCAAAACACCTTATTCACGGATTATGGAAGTCATATTACACAAGTATTCCCATTTCTTTTCTTTAAAAAAAAAGATACATTATAAGTGACAAACCTTTCTTCATCTCCTCCTCCATCTTGGCCTTCAGTATGTTACACTTGAGCTGTGATGCAGGAATGCTGGTTGCTCCACCCGCAAACTTGGTCTGGTTGTTCTTGAATGTGTTCGCCTCCTTGGCATCAGCCTTCGGCAGAGCAACCTCTACTGCTGTGGCAGTGGAATCCAAATTTTTCATTCTAGCTGCCATTACTTCAGACCTTTCAGCTTCTGAAACTGTCAATGAAAGTGTTGCATGACTTGAGACCATCAACTTCAAAATTGAAAATAATATTGGATGTTCACAAGAACTATATGTTGGTGTGATTATTACCTCCACCAAGGGGTTGGCAGGAGGTTATGTTTTCACTGGCGTGTGTTTGACTGTTTGTTTGTGGGTTTGTGGGTTTGTTTGTGTACAGCCTAACTGAAAAAGTTATGGACGGATTGTCATAAAATTTTCAGGATAGGTCAGAAATCGCCTAACTTAGAATTGATGAGATTTTCGTGGTGATCCAGATCCAATTAATTAATTAATTAATTAATTAAATTTTAAGGATAGGTCAGAAATGGGGTAACTTAGAATTGATTAGGTTTTGGTGGTGATCCGGATCCAATTAATTAATTAATTAAATTTTCAGGATAGGTCAGAAATGGGGTAACTTAGAATTGATTACATTTTGGTTGTGATCCGGATCCAATTAATTATTTAATTAATTAATTAATTAATTAAATTTTCCACTTAATTAATTAATTAATTAATAAAAATTTTCACAGTGAGACAATTCAGCTGCCTTAGCGGAGGTCTGTGCTCTCCGAGTGCTCTAGTTAATGCATGCATTAGGTCTTGCAGCTATTTTACCATTGGGTTTGTGCTCGGCTACCCCACTGGCTTGTTCTGCACTGCTTGTGCTTCCCTTCTTGGTATTGGTGGCTGCCTTTACATCCGTTACAGGCAATTGGCCATTTGGAATAGTGTCTGCCTTCAAATTGTTTGCTGTAGATGCTGCTCCCTCTGGTGCAGATGCTTTTGATTTGTCCACTCCCAAACTGGAAAAGGCAAGCAAAATTGATCATTGTCACTATATCAATTGAATATCCGTGAAAGAGCTCCAGAGAAAGAGAAAGAGTCCAGGCAAAGCACGTCAAGAACCAAGTCGGCACTAAGACTAGTAACACAGTCACTCACCCCTTCTTTGGTGTCGAGGTCTCGTTCGGTGGTGTCTGCTTAGCGAGACGTTCCCGTATGACGTGGGACTGGCGGCGCGAAAATCGCTGACTAGGTCGCCTCTCGAACTGCACGGACCTGCGGCCCTTGGTCTGCAGCGCCGTTTGGAATTCCGTCTTGCCACTGTAGCGGAACCGCGAGCCCATTCTCAAGAAGCCCTGCCTGTTGCCGCGTGCCTGGGGAGCGGTGCGCAACCTACAGAAGCATTCAGAACAGTGTGATAAGCGAACCGATCGGCTGGAGACACTTGCAGGTTTAAACCCACGCTAGGAGGTCGGATTTTAATAATGGGCTAAGGAATAGTTTAGGATTAGGGATAGGGAGAGTGATGATGTATGTTGAACACCAGGGTCCCAACGTAGGATTGACCTGTACCTGCACCTAAGCACATAATCATCATAACACAGTGAACAGTGAGGCGACTGGAAGAGCAGGTATGAAAGTAGCCGAACACAAATATTATGCATCACAATTCAAATTTCACAAACACCCTTTTTTTAAACAAATTCATTGGAAAAAATTCTCTCGACATAAACACAGCATGAATGCTAGAAAAGCAACTGTGTTCTACTGAAGTATAGTCAGGCATGACTTTTCAAAATTGGCACCAATGTTTCTGCAGCAGCAATGGAAATTTAGAGCACAATTAATAATGAATATTCATTCATATGATACTAAAGAATTTATGATTATCACAAATGTATTTCAGGCTCATAAAGTTAATTGGGCTTGTAACGTATCCTGAGGCTCTTATACTCACCTGAAAAATGCATGATACTCTATAGCACACTTCCATAGATGCTTGCAGGCCTTTTGGTTGTGAAGGCGGAACAGGAACGTGTGTTCTTTTTCCTTGCCATCTTCATCATCCTCCACCACAACCAAAGTTAGCTTCTTTCCCTTGAAGTCTAATCGTGTCATCTTTGGCCTACAAATAGTAGATGTAGGATTACACATATATGCTAGTAACAAAGCCAAAAAATATAATTCTACAAATTGCATAAACCGTGCATACCAGAAGAAAAGGCCAATCTTTTGTGTTCCTTCATATACGAGCAAGCCAGTTGGAGTGAGTCCTAGACCGTACTCTGATCCATCTTTGCCCTTTAAATATTTTAAGCAACCAATATATCATTGTATAAGGAATTTATTAATAATATCCATTACAGTTTTAAAATTACAATTCAAGATAGTCTATTTTTACTTGGATAAAATAACATTAAAGGAGCATTTTAGCTTAGTTCACAGATTCTCATGTAAATTTTTCTGAACATGCAGACAGAAAATGACATAATTTCAATGGCCACTATTACAACTTTACAAGGGGTTCATCATACATAACAACCTACCATGACGTGGTGCATATCAACCCCATACTGTTCCACCCATTTAGCCTTGTTTAAAAAGTTCAACTCAGCTTGTGCAGGGTTCTGGCCACTATAAATCAAAGAAATACACATCTTGAATTAGAAACACATTTCCTAATTTAAGTTTATGGATACACTTGGTACAGTCTTAACATCTTCAATAGCTGCACTAAGTTTGATGTGGCATCAATTCAGTCTCAAATTTGCTCTCAGTGAGATGACCGGGGGACGTTTATTTGATCCTATATATGTCAAATATCAACACCATGTACATGCATTTCATATTTACCCATTTCAAACAAAAACATCCAATATCTCGGCATCGCCTTCATCGCCAAGAGGTGAGCAAATACTCACTCTTTAAGTATCAGTGAGTAGGTAACTTTTATGGCCCATTCAGCAATGGCAAGAGAATATGGAAGGCTAAAAAGCTTTCCGATTGGGCCTAGTGTACCACATCACAAAATCTACAAACATATAGCTTTTTGATCTTTGCCCTCCATTTCCAAACTAAGCAAATTTGTTGACACAGTGGCAATATGTTACACATATAAATATTGTATGTGAAATTGGTTAGATTTTTTGCCACAATTGTGTGGAGGTACAACACCACTCATATCCCTAATTATTTCATCATTGCATTATTTTCCCTTAATATCTTAGTGAAGGAAAAAACAGCAGAATAACTCATTTACTACTGAATGCCAGTTTCGATCTATCGGTGCCTTATCAGATTGCTTCTCAAATGACAAGAGAGAATACCACAGACTCAGCAGTTTAAATTTGTGTCAATATTACCACACATTGGGAGACAGCTGGATGGAAGTTTCAGTCAGTTTAATTGCTGAACTTGACTACCTTAGTTAAACTAGTATAGTAACTGAATTAAATAATGCACGTTATTAGTGAATACAAAACGTGAGTAACACGCGAGACATTCACCTGAATTTCTTGTAACTTTCAATGACTTGCACTTCAAAATCTTCCGTCTGGTTAGGCACAAACCTGAATTCAGACACAAACGATGGCGTATGCTCGTCCGCATCATAGTCGCCAACCTCAGCTGTGAGAGTAAATACAAAAAGTATTTGCAAACAGATGCATCATCGCTAATGACTAAAAGTAAAACACAAGTTAGCAGAGTGAATCATTGAATGTATGCTCCCACACAGCTGAGCACAGAATTCACACACTTTGTTTCCTGAAAGCCAGTTTAACATTCAGATCAATAAAGCAGCCACATCCTTAACAAGACCAACACTGGATACCTACATGGAAAACATGTTACATGATAGCATATAATACTGTACATGTAGTTCTAATAACAAATACAAGCACTCACACTGTAGGATCAGTGCTGCAAGCTCTACAGCCAGTTCATTGGACAGCAACAGTTTCCCATAAGCGATGTCCTTTTTTATTTGCAAAAACAGCAGGTACCTGTCAAAAAATTAAATATGTATTGAGATCATGAGATGCAATAGTATTTTGCAATTTAAACACATTTGTGATAGTGAAAACCACATCTGAAACTTAAAATACCACACTTTTATTGTCGACGTATATACTTGCCAATAATTTTGACATTTAAAGTGATTATTGCGAGTTTTTTGGCTCAGAAAAAAACGAAATATAGCTGAATATAGTCTCACCTGACAGTGGAAATATCACTGATTATACCAACATTAAAAAAACCTAGATTTTATGCAGTTATAGCATAGAAAAATTTATTTAACCACATCATACCAGCAATACATTTTATCGTGTCACGACTCTCAAAAATCACAAATGGTGTCTCAAACAAGCAAACATAATAAAAACAAAAGGGCGTGCAATTCTGTTTGGTAAATATTATTGAGTTTTTATGTCAATAATTTAGAGCACTTTATGTCATTGTCATTCCCGTGTTACTATCTGACTGGCAATCCACAAGCTTCTCTAATAACAGACTTTACGTGGCATTAATACTACACTGCTGTTACGCTAGTATGAACGTCTGTGTTTACACTCTGACCTGATTTCTACGGTGCGTGGTATGCATTGCTGCACCGTGATAGATGTCTCGCGCTACCGCGAGAAAATTCGAGATATGGCAACGGTAAACAGAAACAGAACGCAAAATTGTAATCGTGCATGATTTCATTGGATTTGGTGAATATGAAGGTTCTAAGACATTTTATCGTTACTCTAGACAATTGCTGTTACTCAAGCAATAACGGTAGGTATCATGAAAGTGGGGAAAACACTGGAAAATTCTCGCAATAGACGCTTTAAACACCTGAAACACTCCTAATGCTAGTAACTAAAACAAAAGCATACCTAGTTAGTTCCTCTTGCAAGTTGCTGGGCTCTGAAGCATAAAACTTCACCCTGAGCTTCAAAGTGTAAGGTGGTCCAACTGGAAAAAAATTTCAATTATTATTTGCATTTCTTATTTTCCATACAAGACTGAAAATAATGAATTCAAATAAGGAGTCAGAATGCAAATATATACAGCCCACACTGAAATGTAGGTCAGTCGATAGATTAGTATGCATAACATGCTCAACTAAGAGGCATAACAGGAGGTGGGGGTCCTAGTAGATTTATTCCATTTTGACACATGTACATATATGCATGTACATATCTCATCATGTAAATGGTATTCTATGTATTTATTATTTATGTTTCCCACTCATATATATGCGTACACTATACTCAAGCAATAAGCAATCTTTGAAATTGATAAACGTGATACAGTAAGATGCTTTTCTTCATTATTAAATTGAAACCTAATTTATACACATCTACAGTGTTCAAAATACACAACTTTTGGTAATTAAAATTTTTTAACTTTTATGACACTTGGTGTACTTACTTCTAGCTTGTTTTTTGATTCGCTTCGTAGGGTCGAGCCAGTGCTGGAAAACATGGCACATAAATTGTTGACTATAATGTGCATTAAACCAAAACAACCACCTTGGTAAATCAGCACAAGATGCATAACTCTCTCTAATTGCTTGTTTCTAACACACTAAGTTTAATCTCTTAATGTTACAGTAATGCAAAGAAAATTTATCAGTTATTTAAAAAATGACAAATGAATCACACAGCCTAAAAAATTACAGATGCAATTTAGTTCTTAAATCACATCTCAATGATCATGCCAATACCTGTACATGGTTGTGATCCATATACTGCATTCCAAAATAATCCTTTTCTATTATATCCAGTGAATAAAATACTTGATCAAGTAATTGCTGCCCTGTAGCTTTTTTCTGAAAAGAAAAATGTACACACATGCAATAATAAGGTTAACGCATCCTTACTAGTTTACATTTTCATATATACTCATCTTATAAGAATGCTTTTTCTGATTTTCCTACAATACCTTACGTTATATATGTGTGGCCAAACTATACATCTCCAATATGAAGAGAGTATGTACACCCTTAGAAGTTTGTGCCAGAAATGATGGTGCATGTTTGTTTGGGTGGATCATTAGCGCTATCCCGATATCCGCGGGATAGTAGATTCTTGTGTTGGATACCAGATTTCAATGCTTGGTATCCCGCCGGGATAGTAAAAAAAAAATCGTCAAAATCGGGATAGTGGTTGTTGAGTTATCAACTTTATACGGCAGCGCATCTGAGGGAGTGCACGTAGAGCGAGTGCGCGCGATCTGATCATAAATGTGATGTGTATACATTATATCAAGCAAACCAGACAAAGCGTCTAGACATAGTCTAGACAATACATCTGCAGTGTACTTGTCTGTGCATATCTGTGAATCTGTTTTCATGTTTTTATATAATAATTACATTACATATTAATAATTTTCAAATGTTATTATCGCATATTTAAAGATTTTGGATACCAACAATGTTGAAATTACTATCCAAAAAATGGGATACCAGATCTTTGGGGGGGGGGGATACCAGATTTCAATACCTGGTATCCCGAATGGATTGTTCAATAGGTGAATGTTGAGCTAGTTTTCGCGATCGCAGGATACAAAATTACAAATATTACAAACATATTAATAAATCATGACACAAAATTATTATACAATATATAGCACCAACAATATCACAATAATGGTCTAATATAATCAAATGTAATAAAATGTTAACATGCATTCAGTTCAACGTGCAACGAAAAAGTAGCACCTAAAACAAAAAAATAGCCCCACAAAATTCAAAAATAGCCCCAAGGCTCTAATAAAAGTATACCTTGAAAAATAAATAATAATTCCACCCATGTCTGGCACCCATGTAAATACCTACACGATAAGGTTAGAATCACAGGCATTTGGAACGTCTCAATAAAATAAAATAAAGTAAATAAACAAAAAATGTATTTACTACCAAAGTTTTAATGTTTCTCTACTCTATTTCGCCTATAATCACCTGTAAATGCCGGTCAAATGCTCATCTGCAACACACAAGTACACCGCACGCTAGCTGCTGCACACTGACACATAAATATATAGCTAGTACTAGTAGGAAAGCGTGCTGCCAAAATTTGCTCAACGCTCGCTTGATTTCACACGAAAACAACACAAACATTCAACCATTCTACTCCATCTTTGTTTCTATTTGAAGGGCAGTGTTCACTTGTTATAAAAACATACTGTCTGTGTTCGTAACCGACCTGTGTCACGCGAAATCAGACAAAGCCTGACGAAATTCTCGGGTTCACTCCCGTTGCGCAGTTTATGTAAATGGCTGCAAGTACAGGGCTATAGGCGGCGCACTGCATTTTGGGAAACTACCACGCTGCTTTCCAATTCCCGTACGAGCCTCGTCAAAGCCGCCAGTGGAGTGTTGCAATAATGCGGCGCAAAAATGAGGTCACAAAGAGCGCCGGTGGGTGTTTCCTGATTCCGACAGCCATTTACATAAACTGCGCAATGGGAGGGAACGCGAGAATTTCGTCAGGCTTTGTGTGATTTCGCGTGACACAGGTCGATTACAAACACAGACAGTATGTTTTTATAACAAGTGAACACTGCCCTTCAAATATAAACAAAGATGGAGTAGAATGGTTGAATGTTTGTGTTGTATTCGTGTAAAATCAAGCGAGCGTCGAGCGAATTTTGGCAGCACGCTTTCCTACCTGCTATATATTTATGTGTCAGTGTGCAGCAGCTAGCGTGCGGTGTACTTGTGTGTTGCAGATGAGCATTTGGCCGCCATTTACGCTGAGAGGGTCTATGTCCCCCGGGGTACTGCCGGAAGGTACCCTGGGTACGATCCGGTATACTGGAACGTACCCTGGTACTATCTAATATGCCAAACCCTTCCTCGCCAACTCCACTAACGAGTCTAGGGAGTCGCTTACGCCTACTCCTAACCCTATCAGATAGTGACCAGGGTACGTTCCGGTATACCGGACCGTACCCAGGGTACGTTCCGGCAGTACCCTGGGGGACATAGACCCTATGAGCGCCATTTACAGGTGATTATAGGCGAAATCGTCTGACGTATGCGCGCAGGAGCCTATGCGGCATGCCTGTATTTTGTTTCATAATTCGATTTTTTGTTTTATGGTTGATTTTATCACATATAACATTCACGGATCGAATCATTCGATCCGTGGATCGAAATAGAGAAAGAGAGACGAGGTGAGTATATGAAGAGGGGACAAGGTGGTACACCGTACAGGTGGAAGGATAGACCAATAAATTGTGCCCTACAAATTTTTATATTCTGATGTTATTTATCCTAACATAACATCAGAATATAAAAATGTTTAGGGCACAATTTATTGGTCTAGAGGAAGGAGAGAAGGTAGAGGACGAGGGAGAAGGTAGTGGGGGAGGAGGAGGGGAGAAGGGAAGGAGGTAGAAAAAAGGGACAGGAAGGAGGTAGAAAAGGGGTACAGGAAGGAGGTCGAGGAGGAGGGTAGGTGGTCGAGGAGAAGGGTAGAAGGTGGTCGAGGAGGAGGGTAGAAGGTGGTGGGGGAGGAGGGAGGAGGTAGAGGGGGAGATTGTGGTGGAGGGGAGGGGGAGTTGGGAGATAGGGGGCAGAGGAGGTAGTGGAGGGGGAGAAGGTAGAATAGGGAAGAGGTCGAGGATGGTAGGAGAAGGTGGAGGAGGTAGAGGAGAGGGAGAAGGTAGAAGAGGGAGTAGGTAGAAGATGGTGGGAGAAGACGGAGGAGGTAGAGGAGGGGGAGAAAGTGGTGGAGAAGGAGGGTAGAAGGTGGTGGGGGAGGAGGTAGAGGGGGAGAATGTGGTGGAGGGGAGGGCGAGTTGGGAGATAGGTGAGAGAGGAGGTAGTGGAGGGGGAGAAGGTAGAAGAGGGAGGAGGTCGAGGATGGTGGGAGAAGGTGGAGAAGGTAGAATAGAGGGAGAAGGTAGAGGATGGTGGGAGAAGATGGAGGAGGTAGAGGAGGGGGAGAAAGCGGTGGAGAGGGAGGGGGAGGAGGTAGAGGAGGGGAAGAATGTGGTGGAGGAGGACGAGGAGTGGGGAGATAGGGGAGAGAGGAGGTAGAGGAGGGGGAGAAGGTAGAAGAGGGAGGATAGTGGGAGAAGGTGGAGGAGGTAGAGGAGAGTGGGAGAATGTGGAGGAAGTAGAGGAGGAGAGAAGAAGGGGGAGGAAGTGGTGGGGAAGGAGAAGGGGGAGGAGGTGGTGGGGAAGGAGAAGGGGGAGGAGATAAAGGAGGGGGAGAAGGTGGTAAGGGAGGGGGTCGAGGTGGTAAGTGAGTGAGTGAGAGAGGGAGGGATCGGGAGGGGGTCGAGGTGGTAAGTGAGTGAGTGAGAGAGGGAGGGAGGGAGGGATCGAG